TTTTCACTTGGTTGACACGTATGTATTAAGTATTATGTCTGGGCCAGGTCCTGGACCGTGTATGTGCTGGGCATGTACCAGTGACAAAACCTGATGCATCCCATGCTTTTAGAGAGCTAACATTTCAGTGCGAGTAACAGAATTGAACACAGTGTCACACAGTTGTTTAATTATAATTGTGGTAATGGTCTCTGAGAAGAAGTGCCAGGGGCCATGAAATGGACTGACAGGGGTCCTGGCCTATAGTCTGAAGAGTCAAGGAGAGCTTCCTGGAAGAGGAGGTGGACCCTAAAGGGCAAGTGAGATCAGCTGGGTGAAGAAGAGAAGGAAGAGCAGGTGCGAAGTTTCTGAGCAGAGGAAGAGCCTGGAGCAGGAGAAAACAGGGGTGGGGGTGGGTAAGGGGTTAGAAAAGCCAGCCTTGGAGCTGGGGGTGGGGCAGCGCACATTAAGGGTTTGGAGCTCACCTCCTAGAAAGGCGACGTGATCAGAAAGATTACTGTGCTGCTGTGTAGGGTGAGGGCACAGGTGGTTGTTGATGCCACAGGTTATAGTGTTCTGGGACGAGGAGATGGGGTCTGGGCCAGCGTGGTGCTGGGGACAGAGAGGAGAAGGAGTTTAGCGGAATGTAGGAGCTCCGAGTGGCCTCACTGGCCCGAAAGAGGGAACGGGAGGAGGCCGATGTGGCCGCCTGCTTCTGGCCGGTGCTGGACGGGGCGGTGGTGGCACCCTTCACCAGATAGGAACCGGAATTGGTGTAATAGATTTCTGAGTGCTGGAGGGTGCACAGGGAGCCCCGAGGAAGGGAAGGGGAAGCCCAGAGTGACAGCCTCCAACCACTGTAGAAAAGGGAAGCTGAGGCCCAGAGAGGAGAAGGGTTCGCCCAAGTCCCACACTGGTTCGTGGCAGAGATGAGACCTGAACCCAGTATTCCTTTCTATTTTGACTCCCTCGAGGCATGGACCCCCATTTCCTCAGGAAGCCAGATATGACCGTCACTGCGTTCTTGTCCTGTCCTCCTCCCCATCCAGGTCATCCCAGACTGGAAGGAGCAGGAGTGGGACCCTGAGAAACCCAGTGCCTACGCGGGCATCTTCCACTTTCACTTCTGGCGCTTTGGGGAGTGGGTGGACGTGGTCATTGATGATCGACTGCCCACGGTCAACAACCAGCTCATCTACTGCCACTCCAACTCCCGCAGCGAGTTCTGGTGCGCCCTGGTGGAGAAGGCCTATGCCAAGTAGGTGCTGGTAGGGTCGGTGGGCAGGTGGCCAGGCTGGGGCGGCTCACCTTGTGGGCTCCACCTGGGTGCTGCTCTAGCCGGGGAGCCCAGGGCACAGCCAGCGGAGCCTACTCTGTGGCAGATGAAGGTCTGGGACCTGGTGTCCAGTCCCCAAAAACCAACCCACAAAGGGAGGAATGGTTCCTTCTTGTTCTAGCTGAGAGGGCAGAGCCAGGGCTCACATTCGGGTCGGTGGTTTTTCCCCCAAGATGCAAGCCACCCAGCCCTCCCTGGCAGCCTTGCCGAGGATGTGATATCTCAGAGCCAGGGCTGGTCGTGGTGGGTGGGCCCTCCCCGCCGGCTGGGCTCCCCTTCGTCCACTCATCCGTCTTCCTGACTGATTGTCCATCCATTCTGTCTCCACTGACCCCTCCTCCTGTTCTGTGCCAGGCCCTGGGTCCCCAGCAAGGGCACAAGCAGAGGTTTGCTGAGCTTTGGAGGGCTTTGGGGCAGAGAGACCTGCTCAGGCCCCTGCAGGCCTGGAGCAGGAGGGCCAATGGGGTCAGAGACCAGCCCACCAGCCCTGTTGAGAATCCTTCCCTGGTTCCTCCTCCCAGGCCCATTGGTTGGTCTCCTTGGACTGTGCGTGTGTGTGTGTGTGTGTGTGTGTGTGTGTGTGTGTGTGTAAAGGAAAAAGGAAAAACAACAGCTCCCAACATCAAAAACAAACTTAAGGGGTGCCTGGGTGGCTCAGTCAGTTGAGTGTTGATTCTTTTTAAAATTTTTTTTTTTTTTAACGTTTATTTATTTTTTGAGACAGAGAGAGACAGAGCATGAACGGGGGAGGGGCAGAGAGAGAGGGAGACAGAACCGGAAGCAGGCTCCAGGCTCTGAGCCATCAGCCCAGAGCCCGACGCGGGGCACGAACCCACGGACCGCGAGATCGTGACCTGAGTCGAAGTCGGACGCTTAACCGACTGCGCCACCCAGGCGCCCCAGTTGAGTGTTGATTCTTGATCTCGGCTCAGGTCTTGATCTCACAGTTCGTGAGATTGAGTCCCATGTTGGGCTCTGCACTGACCGAGTGGAGCCTGCTTGGGGTTCTCTGTCTCCTTCTCTCTCTCTGCTCCTCCCCACTCATGCACTTTCTCTGTCTCTTTCTCTCTCTCTCAAAATAAATAAAGTTAAAAAAAAAACCAAAAAACCTCAAGGAAACACATTGACACATTCCATTTTCAGTCCTAAGAAAGGAAAACCCGCCCCCTGGTGGTCACTGAGTCTCCATGGTCCTAGGTGCAGACCCCTCTCCCAATCCGTGAGAGCCACTTAGTAGGCTTGCTCGTATTTAGGTAGCAGTTTTATTAATTTTTTTTTTAATTGTGGTAAAATATAGAAGGTATGGAAATCCAGGCAGAAGGTAATAAAAGTCACCTGTATACTCCTGCATATTCTTTTGGGTCCCTCTGCTCCCTTTCCCTGTTTGAGGCCACCTGAGTTAACCAGGCCTCCTCCCCCTTCAGGAAACTTTGCTGCCCTCCCCTCAAGGCCCTGCCCCCACTCCTGTCTCCCTCCCTGCGCTCCCTGCATCCTCTCCACACCTCCCCGCTCCTTCCCAATAGCAACTCGTATCTATCTATCTATCTATTTATCTATCTATCTATCTATTTATGAATGAGACAGAACGAAAACCAATGGGAGGTGGGTAGAGGGAGAGGGAAAGAGAGAATCTTAAGCAGGATCCATGCTCAGTGTGGAGCCCGACACAGGGCTCAATCCCACGACTCTGGGATCATGACCTGAGCTGAAATCAGGAGTTGGATGCTCAATCGACTGAGCCATGCAGGTGCCCCCACCAGCAACTTTTAATATCTTTGATGCCTCTTTTTGTTTATAGGTTACCGTCCAAAGCTTGTGTTGCTGTTTTGTGGGCCTGGATTTTCAATTTATGTAATCTGTTTTGTTATATGTCCCATTCAGCTGCTCACATCCACATTCAGCACTGCCTTTAAGACCCCAACCCTTTCCCTAACATTTAAAGAAGAAGCCACAGTTGTGGCCCTTAGCACCTGAGATGTTGCACATAGTAGATGCTTAATGTTTTTTATTTTTTATTTTTATTTGTGATTTTTTTTTTTTTTTTTTTTTTTTAGTAATCTCTACACCCAACACGGGGCTTGAACTCACAACCCCGAGATCAAGAGTACATGCTCTTCCACCTGAGCCAGCCAGGCACACCCCGATGCTTAATGTTTTTTAAATAAATTATTGCATACATTTTAAACATCATTGAAATCCAGCTGTATTGTTTTTTCAAAAGTAACAAGCTAGTAATAGTATTTTGCCTGCTGTAGGAATTCCTTTACAAGGCTTCTTTCAATGGCTACCTCATATCCCAGAGCACAGAGGCAACATTAGTTTTTATTTTTTTTAATGTTTTATTTATTTTTGAGAGAGAGAGCTTGCACAAGTTGGGGAGAGGCATAGAGAAAGAGGGAACAGAAACTGGCTCTGCACTGACAGCAGAGAGCCTGATGCTGGGCTCGAACTCATGAGATCATGACCTGAGCTGAAGTCGGGTGCTTAACTGACTGAGCCACCCAGGCACCCACAGCAGCATTAGTTTTTTTTTTTTTTTTTAATGTTTATTTATTTTTGAGAGAGAGAGAGTGCGAGCAGTGGGGGAGCAGAGAGAGAGGGAGACACAGAATCCGAAGCAGGCTCCAGGCTCTGAGCTGTCAGCACAGAGCTTCACGAGAGGGCTTGAACTCACGAATCATAAGATCGTGACCCGAGCTGACTTTGGACACCCAATGACCTGAGCCACTCAGGTGTCCCTAACAGCAGCATTAGTTTTTAAAGTCAATTCCCTGTTGTTAGACATTTAGGTGATTTCTAGTTTTACGTTGTTATAAATAACATTAATTATTTATAATTGATGTTTCAAAAGATACATGAGTTTTTAATACTTTGCTCGGTTTCTGGACAGTTAAGTGTTGGAGACAGACCGCTAGGGCTAAGGAGAATTTGCGTGATAAAACGGGGTGGTTCAGGGAGACAAACGCTGGCCTGGGAGCCAGAGACAGGGATTTCAGTGTCGGCTCTGCCGTGACCTGCTGTGTGACCTTAGTTTGCTTGACCTCTCTGAGTCCCCCAGATCTCCCCTGTAAGGCGAGGGTTTTAGACAGGTTGGGGAGCATGAGCGGGGAATTCTTTCCACATTGCTCCCCAGGCTGGCGGGCTGTTACCAGGCCCTGGATGGAGGCAACACGGCGGATGCGCTGGTGGACTTCACAGGTGGCGTTTCCGAGCCCATCGACCTGACTGAGGGTGGCTTTGCCAATGATGAGGCCAAGAGGAACCAGCTCTTTGAGCGTGTGTTGAAGGTGCACAGCCGAGGAGGCCTCATCAGTGCCTCCATCAAGGTGAGAACACAGAGGCAGCCCTCCCCATCATCAGCCCTTACTGGGGTGTCCCAGGCAGAGCCCCTGCTCAGACTAGCTCATAATCTGGACGTCCAGCCTCATGGGGGGAGGGGAGCAGCTGGAGCGTGCAGCCCCCTCCCCGGTGCTGGGCAGCACGAGCTGTAGGTCCCTTGCCCTGACCCCCTACACTATGAAATACCTTGCTGTTTGACCAGCATCCCCCTTTTACGGGCATCTTGTATTGGGGCAGTAGGTGTCTGTGCATCTGAGGGTCCCTTAGTCAGGGTCGCTACAAGGCGACTGGAAGAGGGGAGGGAGACTCTGCTCCTGGCACAGGCCCAGGTGCCTCAGGAGGGTTGTCTTGTTTCATCGACTGCTTTTATTTCAGGTGGGGGAGCTGGGGCACCAGTGCAGGCACCAGTGGTGGGTCCGTAGTCTGGCTCTCTGGAAAAAGAAAAAGCCCTGCTTTGTAGCGTTTGCTGATTTCTTTGGCGTAAATGCTCCCACCATGTTGATTTCAAGCTAATGTTTTAACAGTTGTACAACTGAGCCTGTGCCAGTTAACGCCAATGCACTCCTGGGCCACCCCACTTTAGCTGCCCCATGGGGGCTTTGTGCACACAGAGCCCACCCGCCTCCCTTTGTGTGGGGCTGCCATTCCTTCCCTGTCCTATAGAGAGTGGTGTAGGCACACACCATCCCTGCCCCTCCAGCTAGAGCCTGACCAGACCCTGCCTCTCTGGGCAACTGTGTCCTCCTGCAGGCAGTGACAGCAGCAGACATGGAGGCCCGCCTGGCATGTGGCCTGGTGAAGGGACATGCATATGCCATCACTGATGTGCGCAAGGTGCGCCTGGGCCACGGCCTGCTGGCCTTCTTCAAGTCGGAGAAGCTGGACATGATCCGCCTGCGTAATCCTTGGGGCGAGCGGGAATGGAACGGGCCCTGGAGTGACACGTGAGGCCCGGGGATGGGGGTGCGGGCACAGGGCAGACCCCAGGTGGGTGGGCCCCAGTATGAGAGCTTGGGCAAGGACAAAGGTGGGTTTCCTAGAGGAGGTGACACCCAGGCTGGGCCTTGAAGGATATGGGAGGAGGATGACATTGGGAGACTTACTTTGCAGTGGGCACGTGTGTGGGGGTGGGTGGGGGGTGGATTCTGCAGGGAAGAGACCTGGAAGTAGGGATAAGCTGATTCCTGTAGAGGACAGAGAACCCAGTCTGGCGATGAGTGGGAAAGAAAGCAGGGAGGGAGGCCACCAGGGGTGAGAATGGGGGTGACTGCTCTGTGTTTGGCTCATGGCCCTGGTGAGGAGAGGGCCGGAGCCAGGCCCCTGGTGAAGGAGCCCCCTTCCTTGAAGGTCATCCCGCCCTTCCCCCGCCAGCCTGCAGCCTTGTTCTCAGACCTCCAGCCCCTGGCATGGTGGCAACCCACGCTTACCAGACAGGCTTTTTGGAGACGGGCTGGGCCTGGCCCTGGGTGCCCCCAACTATACCCACACTGATGGAGGCCTGGTTCTGGGCTGTGCCTCGGGCCTCCTCTCCCTTGCCAGGGTGGCCCTGGTGGGGTCCCTCCTCTTACACTCCTCCCTCTTCCCTCCCAGCTCAGAGGAGTGGCAGAAAGTGAGCAAGAGTGAGCGGGAAAAGATGGGGGTGACCGTGCAGGATGACGGGGAGTTCTGGTGAGTGTGTCCGTGCCCCACGCGGGCGTCCAGGGCTGGGCGGGGGCCTCCTGTAGCAGGGAGCACCAGATGGAGGGAGGCAGATGCCTCACCACCAACTTGCTCTGTGGCCTAGGACAAATCACGCCTATTTGCTTCTCTGTGAAATGAGTTGGGCAGTAACGGGCCCGTTCATCCCCGTAGTCCCCAGTACCAACCTCCGGGGACCCTGAGCTGCTCCAGCACGCAGGTTGGGCCCTCAGCAAGTAGGCCGGGATGCCGGCAGATGGGGATACGCGAAGCAGGGGTAACGCTGGCAGCCTGATTGCCGAGAGCTGCCGAGAGCAGCTGGGGAAGAGGAGAGGCCTCTTGGAGCGGCTGCCTCCTAAGCTGGGCCCCAGGGTCAGGGGAGCCCTTGGTGGGCAAGGAGAGAGACCCAGCCCAGTCAAGAGAGTACGCTTAGGTTTGAGAAGAGGGAGTTCAGGGAGGCCAGGGAGGCGAGGGGAGCTAAGGGGGCACGTGGGTTGGGGTTGGGCTGGGAAGATGGCAGCAGCCTTGCTTAATACTGTTGCTGATTGTCACAGCTAGTCTTTGCCGGCTCCCGTCTGCCGGGAGTTGTACTGCGTGCTTTTACTGCATTACTTAATTCCCACGCTACCTCTGTGAGGTGGGCAGCTGTTGTTAGGTTCATTCCCATTTTACAAATCAGGAAACTGAGGCCAGAAGAGATGTGAAGGGGCCAAGTGACGCCACCTCCACACTCACTCCCGTGTGGGTCGTGCTTCAGAGCACGCAGGGTGAGTAGGCGGGTGGCCAGCCAGGGGGACCTGCCCAGCCTCGCCCCCTGCCACACCCAGGATGACCTTCGAGGACGTGTGCCGATACTTCACCGACATTATCAAGTGCCGTGTGATCAATACGTCTTACCTGAGCATCCACAAGACGTGGGAGGAGGCCCGGCTGCGTGGCGCCTGGACGCGGCATGAGGACCCCCGGAAGAACCGCAGCGGGGGCTGCATCAATCACAAGGACACCTTCTTTCAGAACCCGCAAGTGAGTGTTTTCAGGGCCCCTACTCCGCCCCTTGGGCAGCCACGGGGGCCCTCGCCACTGCCCTGCATGGGCTCCTGCATGACCTTGGGTATATCCCTGTTCCCCCGTGGGCCTCTGTGCACCTGTCTGCATAGTGGGGGTTGGGTGGGTGTGTTTGGGTGCTCCTGGGCAACCTGCAGATGGTAAAGATGAGGAAGCTCGTCCGGAATTACAAGGACATATAGAGGGAGGCTGAGCTGAAGGCTCGAACCCCTTGTTTCCACACACACGGGCTCTCCTTCCAGGGGAACTTGGCCGGATTGGCTCTTCCTCAGGGAGGACCTCTCCCCTGCGCCTCGTTTGTTAGGACCCTGGCAACTGTTTACCTTTCGTTTGGCACCGACTGCGTGTGGACCCAGAGCTGAGCATCCGCGATCTCAGAGTCCCCCCGCCCCTCAGGCAGCGTAGGGAGCGTAGGCCCATCTCACAGATGAGGGACTGAGGCCCAGAGAGGTGCTGTGACTCACCGAGGCCCGGCTCTGGCCCAGCTTCCAGGAGCCAGCAAGCCTGTCTCCGGCCCGGTCTCACTGCCGTGTCTGTCTTCCCTGACCTTCTCTGCAGTACATCTTTGATGTCAAGAAGCCAGAAGATGAAGTGCTGATCTGCATCCAGCAGCGGCCCAAACAGTCTACCCGCCGGGATGGCAAGGGTGAAAATCTGGCCATTGGCTTTGACATCTACAAGGTGAGGCCAGCTGGGACCCCTGCTCTGGGTGAGGAGAGCGAGGGAGCTGGATTTTAGGCCACCTTGGCGTGGGGGAGAACACTCTAGAATACTCTGGCCACTGACATCATCCCTGCCATTCTGGCCACAATGGCCGATGCCATGGGCATGCTGTGGCGTGAGCCCTATTTGGAACACCCACAGAGGCCCAGCCTGCCTGGGGTCAGTGGCCATGGAAGCCCTCAGCCTGATTTCCTCCTGCCACAGACCCACTGGCTAGTTGGTGGATGGGAAGGTGGTCAGGGCCAGGCCCTGGGAGGCCCCTCCCTCAGGCCTCTGGGTCCCCCTGAGGTGGAGGCCTTGCTGGGCCCTGGGAGGAAGGATCTTGGGCAGAGCCAGGTGGGCTTGCCGCTGGCCACTCCCCCGGGCCTGGGACCCGAGGCCCTCCTCGGGTTGCGACACCTGGTATGTGATGGCACTTGGCATAGCGGGATGCCACGGGCCTGCCAGACACCGAGAACCTCGGGAAATCACGTGGCCGTGCTGGGCACGTGGTCGGAGTTGAGCCCCTGCATTTGAGGCGCTCGGTCACATCATGACACTTTGTTTGTGTCCTTGGGTTGGTACATCCATTGCGTGCTGAGGTGTTGTGACTTTGGCATGTCGTGACCTAAAGTGACATGGCTGTAGCTTCCCATGCCACTCGTATCTGGAGTTGTCTGGCATGTCCTGGCAGCTGGTGATGTCATCTCCTGGCCACGTGCTGTGTTGTGGGCAGATAGTGACACGGCCGCTGTTACCAGGGGGCTGCCCGTTGCCCCCCTCCTCCTAACGGCTTTACTGAGATATAACTCACATACTATGCAGTTCACTCATTTAAAGTGTGCAGTGACCTTTAGCACGTTTGTAGGGTTGTGCGGCTGTCACCAGTCGATTCTAGAACGTTTTCATCACCCCAGAAGGGAAGCTCGCACCCTTTAGCCGGCACCGCTCAGTGCCGTCCGGCTCCCCGCCACCCTCCACCCCCGAGCCTTAGGCAAGCACTCGTCTACTGCTGTCTCTGTAAACTTGCCTTTTCTGGGCATTTCGTGTAAATGGATCAGGTCGCTCTTCTCACGGCAGCGAGGGCGCGATGTGCGAGGTAGGTGGGGGGACCGGGGGCTCCGTGCGCACCAGCCTCCCCGCTCCCCGCAGGTGGAGGAGAACCGTGAGTACCGCATGCACGGTCTGCAGCACAGGGCCGCCAGCTCCATCTACATCAACTCGCGCAGCGTCTTCCTGCGGACGGACCAGCCCGAGGGCCGCTATGTCATCATCCCCACCACCTTCGAGCCAGGCCACACTGGCGAGTTCCTCCTCCGGGTCTTCACTGACGTGCCCTCCAACTGCCGGTGCGTGGGGGGTTGGCTCAGGGCCGGGGCTGGAAGGGCCGGATTCCATAGCAGGCTGACCCGGAATCTGCGGAGACGTTGAGGGTCTGCCCGAGGCGTGGAGCCCAGACCTCCAGCCTCCCTGGGCTGACGTGAGCACCCACGTCCTTCCCCTCCTTCCCCTGCTCCTCTGTCCCAGCCTCTCTCGGCTATATAAAGGGGCAGTATTTCATATGTGCATAGCACTTCACAGTTTACAAAGCTTTCGCTCTCTTCGTTTGCTTTTCCTGGACCCCAAGCGGGGGCCTGACCTTTCCATTTTACAGATCAGAATTGGGGATCGAGGTTTGGGGTGGGGGAGGTTTCCAAGGTCATGACCCCAGTGGTCGAGTTGGCCTAGGCGGACTGCTAGAGCCATCCCCTCCCTGCTGGGGTGCAGGCCCCGTGAGCCCCCACACTGTCCTCCTACCCTGGTAGTCAGGCCCGATTCAGTGCTCCTTGCACACAGTGCAGACCTGGGAGGCAGCACGTGTGGTGGGCTCTGGGGACCTGGGTCCTGCTGGCCCAGGCTCCACCTCTGTCCAGCTGTGGGGCAAATCCCCTCTCCCGTTGAGCCCAGCTCAACGCTTCGTAATCTGTAAAATGGGCGTGATCACCCAGGGCTTTGGGAAGATCACAAATAATACCTGTAACATCCCAGCAGGGGGCTTGGCACACAGTGGGTGCTTAGTAAGTTGCTTTTTCTCTCCGGGAGGACGGGGCTCCCTGCAGTAGAGAGAGAGCAGCAGGAAGCCCGTGGTGGTTTGCCCAGGATGAGCAACGTCTGGACTACATACTGCTCCCCTCCCCTGCCCTCTTCTCGAACCCCCTCACCTTCCATCTCCCTGGCCCCCTCCACCACCTCACCCCTCTCCTCCTCTGCCCTGTACCAGGGAGCTGCGCCTAGATGAGCCTCCCCACTCCTGCTGGAGCTCCTTGTGCGGCTACCCACAGCAGGTGACCCAGGTGCACATCCTAGGGGCTACCGGTCTCAAGGACTCCTCGACGGGTGAGCTCGCCTGGGGAAAGCTCTGGGACCCACCTCCCCAAGGAGATGGCCCATGCCCCCTCCCCACTGCTCAGCAACAGACACCAGCCTCCCAAGCTCTCTTGCTCTCACTGAATGAGCAGACCTTTCCTAACATCCACTCGGGACCCAGCCTTGGAATGAAACTGGGTGCGTAGAGAGGACCGGGCTCTGCTGCCTGCTTTGGGGCAGCTTCCCGTGGGGTGGGGCAGTCCGACACAGGGACAGACAGCTGGGAGGCAGGGCTTACAGAAGGCTCCCTGGAGGAGGTGGCCTTTCTCCAGGCTGAGGCGGCATTAAGATATGAAGCCCGATAAGGCGGGATAGGGAAGAAAAGTGCTCTGGGCAGGGGGAGCAGCATGGAGGCCAGAGATGACCAGTCTGCCCCGTCCTGTCTCTGGAAGTTAGGAAGGGAGTCAGGCTGTGCTGTCCCTTCTGAATATATGAACTCTGTCCTCTGCTTTGGGAAGGGGAATCACCTCCCAGACTTCTGTCCCACTGGGTCCTGCCCCAGGCCCCATCATCACCCCGTGGCCCACTCAATTTCTCTAGGGGCCAACTCTTATGTGATCATTAAGTGTGAAGGGGACAAAGTCCGATCGGCGGTGCGGAAAGGTACCTCCACACCCGAGTACAACGTGAAAGGCATCTTCTACCGCAAGAAGCCAGGCCAGCCCATCACAGTCCAGGTGAGCCCCACCATCCTGAGGGTCTCCCCTGGGCCCCCTGCCTGATGTTTTCCCACT